GGTGGCATATGTAATAATTTACGTAGGCGAAATCGCGGCAAAACAGCAATCAATTTTTACTAGCATTTTGTTTTTGTATTGTGACGTATAATTTAGGAATTTAGACAATCTGTTGAGTCCGCATAAGACAGTCGTTTAGGATCACCCTACTCAAACTTGAATATTGACAAATTCCTTGAGCAAGTCGAGTGAGTGCCGTCGATTCGATCAACCCAAGCAATATCCTAAAGCTCGTGTTGCATATAAACTGCCTAATATCGGGAAGAGGAAACCCTTTTTTTAGCAATCAAGTTTTTCCACAACTCACCAAAGACTTTAAATATATTTTTAGATGTTGTAAATTTGTTTTTATCTTCTTCATTCAACGAAGCTACTAATAAAATAGGGAAGCACTGCATATAAAAAAAGGAAACTGTGTAATTTGCGAATCTGTGTGAGTTGCGACATTTTTATCATTTTATAATTGACAAAAATATACTTTTGAGGTAACTATTGCCAGTGAGTTATGAGCGTATTTGTGGGAATATTACGTTTTGTTCTTTATTTGAAAAATTTTTGATAAGTTTTGTACTCACGTTGCTATGTGACAATAAATGTCATATTATAATAACTAGATGCGTGATATATCTACAAACAGCGGAAAATGTTAATTTAAAAACACGATAACTAAGTCTGCGGTATCTTGTGATTTTTTGTCCACCCATACGAATTGCACGAGAGTTTTCTTATTTTTTTTATTTCAAACTTCTTTGCATGTCCTACCTATTTTTTTATAGATGCAGATAAGTTAAAAATTGTTAATACAATTAACAATTAATAACAATTAATTCATTCAATTATTCTAAAATAAAAATTACTCTTTCCGTTTCCTATCTCACAATCATACGTTATCATTGTCACCCTACGCTCAAGCAGATCTTCCACACTAGATATTGACAGATTCCAGAATAGGGGTGAATACTTTCAAACCGACCCGAATTGCTTACCTGGTGCATACGAACGACCTCATATCGACAATACAGGCAAATAGCCACTCGCTGTATTGATAAAACCTTTTTGTAATCAATCACGCTTTAGAAGTGAGTCGATAAATAAATCGAGTGCTTTATACACAATATTTTAAGGTTTCTTTTAGTTTATATTTCTATATAAATATTTCTTAATTTTGACATCGAATGTGTATGTGTATTTTAATAATAGAGATTTAAACATACAGTGGGGAAGACTTATATCTTCGTATAAGCGGAATTTTCACTCAAAATGAGAAGGAAGATCGGGGTACCCTGTTTGTCTCTCTCTCTGCTAACGCGCGCTCAGGAATGGTTCTGCTATGTTATTTTTCCGAACTTCTCATTCACACGAACAAATCATACAAATGACTTAGTAAAGCAGTATTACACAGTCAACAGGTATTAAGTTACCACGTACTTGACTTAATGCACAAGTTGTTTGGGTTCGATATGAATAATTGATCTTTCATAATGGAAGCTCGTCTTTGAGGATCTAAGCGTGTCTAGTTTATAGTAGGTGATATCTGATAGATTCACAGCGTTGAGCGAACAGGAGAGCAATATTTATGGAATAGCTTTACCCATTGGCAGACTAACCCCATAAAGGGCCCGGAGCAGCAACAGGCTCGGATCGACAACTTTTTCCTAGCGGGGCAGAAACATATTGCGTGATTTTTAAAATTTTAATATTGAGAATTTCTTTCTTATTTTAAAACAAGGACTAACTTAAAAATAAGTTAAAACGTCTCAACTTGACGTTTTCTCTTCTGTCATTGTCAATTTGCTTTAGGAGGTCAATGGTTTAAAGTTTAGTTTAAGACCAGTTTATTGGAACCAAAATGGCGAATATGCGGTTGTATGAATAGGTTGGTTCATACTACTGCATAGTCGCCATGGTTTCGGGTCTCAATGGAAGTGCGGGGTTGTGTAGAAGCGGGCAACCATAGCATAGCGACGCAGTATACTAGAGGCAACAACCCACGTGTTAACACACCATTTTAGTTCAACTCATGTGTTTCACTTTATTGCTCATTTTGTAAATTCATGGTTTAGCGACATTGCCATAACATCAAAAGTTCTTAAGCCGAATTTAGTTGCATGAAACTTGTTTCATTGTATTAATTTCACTAGCAGTTGCACGTGTAAACGTCCTCTTTCAAAATGCATGAATTATATTCACGACACCAAAGAAGTTTCATGCGATGCGCAATGTAGTACCTACCTAGAGCTACGATGTTGCTGGATGTTGGCGGAGGCAGTGCCTCATAGATACCGTTGATTGCACGCCATAGCGAAACTAGTGTCACGTGTGAAATTAGTTTTGTGAAACTTGTTTTTAGTTTCGTGACGCCAGTTTCGTAATGAAAATACTGTAAATTCGGCTTTACTGATTTGTTTTATTACCCCTTTTATTTACGATGTTGAGCTCTGAATTATTTTCTTAGAAGTGAGACGTTGGTGGCTATAACTTTTACGGCTTCTTAAGAACGTCAGTTCGCACTTAATATAAGACTAAAATACTATTCAAATGTTTTATGACACCCTCAGAAGTTACATTGTAATTGTGAATGGAATACCACGGCGCTGACTTAATACTCGTACCTCCAAATATTGTTGCGACCAACAATTTATGGGTTGGAAATGATATTTATATTTATTTGTTGGATTGATTTCACAGTGAAATAGATACTAGGAGCGTCAAATACTTAAAATTCGTATTTTACTTTGTACCATTCATACGATTAATGGCCTAAGTTACTCGTCTGTAATTTAGCTTTATATCAATGACAGAACTTTCAAAATCGGCTTACTAGTTTTTGAGTTTATGCATTTTAATAATATTATACATAAAAAATCAAATCTTTCGATTTTATAGTGTTATACGTGTATTTGTTTAGCTCGTTTTAATAGGTATTATTTTTGTTGCGATAACTACTTGGTCAATCGATATCAACGCAATTGATTTTTTTCTATAAACATTCTCTGACCTGTCTGTCTTCTCTGTCTTGGCAGGTCGTTGATTATGTCTCGTTTTCTATTAGTCTTATTGTTTTGTTCTATATTTATTAGATAGATAGTAACTTTCCGCCAGCGGATTCACCCGCTTGTTCCTTAGAGAATTGTTTAACGGGGTAAAATATAACCTATGTCCACCGCATATGATATAGTTTCACGTTGGTGAAAGAATTCTTTAAATCTGTACAGCATCTTCGGAGCCTATTCGTTGCAAAGAAACAATCAAATCTTTCCTGTTTGTAATATTAGTATAGATAAGTAATAAGGCATAATTAATTAAGAAGAAAGCTACCAAATATGGATTGGGGCAGAAGCAGTGAATGTTTTTTTCATATTTTATTTCATTTAGGGACTCAAACAGTCCTATGTGAATGAATTTTAAAAGACATTTTTGTGAAGCTTCATATTTTTTTACCGTATAATCATCATATTATATGATTTTGGAATCCACTTAAATTGGTGTCCGTCCCCAAAATCTGACCCTGAACAGTATCCCTAATATGGAGTACTAAAATTCCTTTTTAACCGACTTAACGAAAAGGAGGAGGTTATCAATTCGACTGTGTTTTTTCTATTTGTTGCCTCAAAACTTTTTACAGAGTCTACCGATCTTGATGATTCTTTCTTTATTTGAAAGCTAGTGCTTGCCGTGTGGTCCCATTTTATTGGTTCCATTAGTTCATATCTGGCAAAAGCATCTATGTTGATGTTTGTTAATATTACTAAAATGCATAAAATAAAATAAAAAAATAAGAAACATTGAACTCGGACTGTTAATATTTAATTAACTAAAGAAAACATCAGCCCGCCTTCAATGTTTTTTTTAAGATAAGTATTATTTTTAATTTTTGTAATTTTTAAATATTTATCTAATAGGTAAAAAGAAAATTTTGAATAGCTCCAATCAATTAGCGATCTGCTTATTGATTCGCTTGGCTTATTATTATTACGAATAATTTAGGAAGCTATTTCAGTGTTACATGATAATATTCTATATTCCATGGTTACATTCCTCTACTGTTTGAAATTATTTTCGATGTATTTATTATGATAAATTCATACTTTTCGCGTAATCCAGTATTAATCGCGTGATGCAGTATTATTTTTCAGAATATAAAGCCATAGTACCTACTAGGATGAATAAGAAAAAACTTATAAAATAACTATGACAATGCTTTTAATTCTAAAACTTGTACTACAATTATATTATTTACAATGCACGAGGATAATATTACTAAATAAAGTAATATCTTAGGTATAACTTATCCAAAAATCTCATTTTAATTACTACTAAATTGGTATAATGAAAAATAGTAAAACTTCTATCATAATCGTACAAGTTATATACAAATATACAGTAGTAATTCAAGATAGCGTACGAACAAATCTATATAAATGTGAATCTTCACTCTAGTCTTCATTTATATTGGTCGACAGGGCCTTTTTTGTTAACACAGCGGAAATGCTCCTCATACGTATAGGTACCTAAAATGAGGATTTTCTAATCACTAGCGAGATTATATTATGGTTGGCCTACCTAATAAAACACGCTGCGGAATATCTCCGCGTGGGATAAAGAATCCTGGATCGTTTATGAAAGGTGAACAGATCTTGGACCTCATGTACATGCGGAATAACGATAATTTCTGTGCGCTCATTGGATTGGTCAATTAACCAACAATCTACCTATGAACTCACCCAGCAAGTTAGCATAGTCGCGTTAACCAACGTAATAGAGGAATAATTTTATTTTAAGACTTAATATAGCGCATTTGTGGTTTACAATATAAGATTTTATTTTTAAATCGTTCTTAAAACTAAATACCCTTAAAAATACATCCCATTAGAAAACCATAGTTTATGACAAACGTCTCCAAAGGTAAGTTTTATTCAACCTTTAAATCTTGAAATTATTAATAATATAATCCAAATATATCCTCTAAATATATCTCCAAATATACTTGCGAAAATACTTTAATTATAGTCATAAGCGTCATATTTTTTCGCGAACTGTGGCATCATCATCACCGCTTTCCCGAACCTCTGTAACCACGCCCTTTTCTCCATCTCCAATTGTTTTGGATTTTGCGTGGTCGATGTCTTGGACTTCGCCATATTTTGGAGGTAGGACTCGTATAAGCTCATCCTTGGTATCACGGAGTTGTCTTCTGCCGGTTCCAACGGGACATTAATTGGGTCGAATGGTAAGGTCAGCAAGAATTTCCTAGGATCAGCGAAGAATGTTTGGGTTTGTACAGGAGCTTCGGTAGCATTTGTTGTGGTTGTAACAGATCCTTCGGTAGTGGATGTGGGTCGATTTTCCTCATCCCAGATGACGGAGTCCAACCATCTGGAGAAGCTTGAGACTTTAGGGAACGCGTGAATTTTGGTATAAATTGCGCACGAGTGGATGAATGTTGAAATACCAATGAGTGTGTTGTTCTGTATGATGGCACCTCCGTTGTCCTTCTGTGATTAGAAAAAAATAAATAAATGTGACTGAAAATAGTATAATTAAAATTTATAATATTGTTCTTATTATCTCAATATTATGTATTCTTTTATGTAGTATATTTTTTGCTTGTCCTCGAAAAGTTATTGATACTTATTTATAGAAGTAAAATTAATGTAAAAATAATACACACAGAAAATTAGAACTTAAAGAATATCTAGACCGAAATTGCTGAATGAAAACGCGTTCAATGTCCTAATCAACTAACGTATGTAGAGATCAGAAAGAGAAATGAGACAGAAAAAACGGATTTGTATTTAGGTATATTTTTCTTTTATTTTTAAACTTATACAAATGTAATAATAATCAAACTATTAACTGAAATCTCGATGAAGGCATATGTCGTTCTTGGTCGCCTGTCTACCATACACCATTAAAATCAAGTGTACTTATGCAATCAATCTGGTAGTCTGAACTCCTGATTCTGAAGAGCCCTTCACTTAATAGAAAATTGATTGAATTTAGAACCCTTCAACGCTATCATTCGTTGTTTGCCGATGTAATCTGCTAAAACAACCAGGTTTCTGTTACTAGAGGTTTTAGTAACATTAATCCATTACCTATATCACAGATATACTTCAGTTGCCTCCTAATTGTAGCACTTGAAACAGTGCCCAATTATCGTGGACTCTTTAAAAACAAGTTATATACTAGCAATCTCGTAAATTAATCATAAAATAGTAAAATATAATACAATAAATATACAAATCGTATTCTGAACAACGTATGCTCCTTTACTGCAAGATATTATACTTTAATTACTTGACACTTTGTATATAGATGCAAATGACATCAGTCTAACTAAATCAGTTTTGTCAAATTAGGCTATGTTGATAAAAACCGGCGAAACCGTATGGAAAGCAAAAGCGAAAGAAATGTGTGAAGATCTGCTTTGCGGCGTTCAGTTTTCAATGTCTACGCAGAATTGTAGCTGTGAAATGCCTCAAAAGTTAAGTTTTTACATTATCCAAAAAAAAATACAACTTTGCTATTCCACAATGAAACAGTCTTGGATTGGGCGTTAATTACAGCGTTGTCACATCGTAAAGCTTAAACGAAATAAAACCTTTATTATCTTTTGAAGTAGATTTTTTTTATTGACCCTCTATGTTATCCTATCCCCGTACACGACGACAAGTTCAATAAGGGATTTGTTACAAAATAGCACTGAAGGTAATGATGACTCGACGACTTATGCTATTATTTTCTACAAACAGGATTAATTTTAACCCAATATAAATTTATTTATCCATCAAAAATATACATGTAAAGTAAAAGTTCAATTCAATATTGAATAATACGTCGTTCTCAACTTCATTACACTATATGGATATCAACGTGTATTCAGAACGTAATGCGAGTAATTATTGTGAGAAAGGTCAGAAACTGTTATAAAATGCAAAATGGAAAGTAAATTGCGAGTTATAGAGTTTGGATAGAATTTTATTAGAAAAATTTACTAGAAACGGTGATGTGCTGTAACTTAGTTTATAATTTAGGCCGGGGCGGGTAGGAAATTGAAATTTATGAAGTGCGAAAGCTATTTCGTAAACGTGAATGCGGCTTAGAGTTCGGTTTCGAAATTTAAGGTGAGCTTATGTTTTACTAGGATGATTTCCAAATTGAAACAACTCGTAGTATTTCTTGTTAAAGATTTTCGATGTACAGTCAGATGTTCTAGTCAGATGTTCTAAGGACTTTCTTTCGTTGTAACTCAAAAATGAAGTTTTAATGTGATAAGAAGATAGTGAGCTGGTCTTCTGGAATTCTTTAGAGAGTTCCAGAAACGGACAAATAGAATTGTTTTAGACTATGGAAATAGATGTCTACGGGTGTTGAATATTACATACATAATGAGGTATCAACAGTTGAGATTCAACATACTTCTTCCTCATAAAAATAATAAATTATAACCGTTATTCATGAGGGGAATGTTCGTTTCTCCTTAACTGTTTCTGTTAGGATAACAGAAACAGTATAACAGAAACAGAACCGTAACTTAACTTCACCAATACCACTCAAAGATTTTATTTTACAAACATTGTAAAGAAGGAATAACCAGAGATGTACAAAATACCCTGTACAAAGTATCTGGAATACAAGATACAAAATACTTTTAAATTAAGTATTTCAGATACCAGATACAAAATACTTTCGAGAAAAGTATTTGAAATACTAGATACAAAATAGGTATCTTATAGATACTTTTTATAAATACAAATACTTTTCTAAAAAAAGATTTGAATTTCAGTTTGTTTATTAAAGACCACAAAAACCTAAATCTTAGACCAGTTGGTTCCAGGGACAAAGTGGATTTTTTAAGCATTTTTCATTAGAAACAATTTTTGTAAGCTTTTATTTAGTTTCACCTGTGTTTGTACTCAAATCTTAAATTTCACCCACTTTTCCTCCGTTTTATTTGTTTGTCAATCACAATGTAACATATAAAAATGCAAATATTTAATACATCAGGTTTAAATTATTTATTTTTTTTTAGTTCCTTTTTAATAATATTTTTATTCAATATAGCATGGTGAATGAAAAATTGCTGAAATATAACAACAACTCTTATAAAAAATACTTAGCTGGACGGGAGGAAAGGCTTATAATACGTCAAAGGCATTTTGATTACTGGTACTGTTGGTAATGCGCCATTAGTTACCATCTGATCGGATAAATCCGGTCTCAACCGGATTTGAAGTATTAATTAAGTCTGTAGGCGCATGGTCTGTTAAGTACGGCGGATGACGGAGAACTTCAAACCCCAGCTCTTGTAGCTTGGGTACCGCCAATTGTGTAGTATGAGGTCGTACGTGGTCGTGCAGGAGCAGTGGAACCGAACGATTGACAAAACCTGGTTGGAGTTGTGCCAGCTTCTCCGTCATTGTGTTCAGTTCTTCACAATACACACAGTAAATGTGCAGTAATGCTCGTCCTGTTTGGTAAGAAGCTGTGATGAAATACATCCGCGTTAGACCACCAAACAGCAACCTTTTCGTAAACCAATAAGGGGCGAACCAATAACGGGTGGTGCGTTCGTTTGTAGTGTTCGCTCTGCAAACGTTGTAATGTTGCGTGCCGCTTTGCTGCTACGATGGGACACATACTCCATAATTACTCGAATTTTTAACTTATCCATGACGACGAAAAATATTCAAATGCATTGAAAACAAAACATTTACTATTGAACAAATTACGATTTTAGAAAAAATAATTTGATATTAGAATTATCAGCCAAAAAAAATAGTTTGATTTTAAATGGCTAGTACAGCAGAACGGCAATTACATAGGTAAAGACCTAATATTAAGACAGGACTCCGCCCATTTTTTTGTTGTTTCTCAATAAAGATCCCTTGAATTAAATGGTTACTTATTAAAGCAAAATCTACTATACGATTACATCACAGATTGTGTTGTATTTTTGAAAAATAAAGGAGTATTAATTGACGATGTCAAAGAAATTATTTGAAGAATTTTTTCTATTAACAAATTTATTTTTATGACGAATTAGTTGAAAAGCAGTGGGTAATTATTTTCAATATATGCAATGACAGCACTCGTTTCCGAACTACTGAAGATTTGTCAGTATTTTTTTGTATTATGCCTCATAATGCGAATATTGTTTTTTTTTCGCTCATGAATATGCAGTGGTCAAAAGATAGAAAAAGATTAACTGTTGAGTCAATAAAGGCAATATTGCTTTGCTCACGGGATATAATTTCAAGCATTTGCCATGTATCGAATTTCACAGTGAAATTTCTTTAAAAATAAACTTTTTGAATGCTGTTGTTAGTGGAAAAAGTATAATGTGCAAAAAAATAATAAAATTTAATAATGAGTTTAATTGATATACTGAGTTTTATTTATAGCATATAACCGGGTTTTTACATAAATCAAGATTTTTTATTGCTTGTAACTGGTTATTCGATTTCAAGCCCTATGCGCCATCTATCAATTTTTACTAGGGAGGGTGTATTACACCGGTATAACCGTACGTTCAGTTCTACGCATTTACTTTTTAAATGACACCAAACAATGTTTGGATTCGAGTTATTTTTAACTAAATATTCATTGCGTTGATAATTGAACACTTTCTTTTTGTAAATATGTATGTTTTAGGCAAAGAATGTTTTGTGATATTTATAAAATGTAAGAAATAATCTTTTTATAAAGTATTTTATCAGAAAAAGTATTTAAAAGATACTAAGATACTAAACAAAAGTATTTAAATACAAGATACAAAATACTTCCTAAAAAAAGTATTTTAGATACAAGATGAAAATACGTATTTTGTATCTTGTATCTGTATTTCAAATACTTGTATCTAAGATAAGTCACATCTCTGGGAATAACAAATTATGGATCCTAAAATTCTCAGTGTCTTAGTGTATTAAAAAGAATATTTTATTACAAAGTTCAGTTTATGGTATCTATCTCTCTGAAGGTGGAGTAAATTTTTTTATTATTCAATAACGTTCTCGGAAGTGTGAAAGAGTAGCACTGATATCTAGTTTCCACACAGACGACTTTCCTGAGCGATAAGAAGAAGAAATGCTTCAAAAACTTCAATTCAAGGGAAGATATAAAAAAACAAATACTTTTTGACATGAAAAACCATTTGTAATTTACAAATTCTCTTCCCACCACAATATCTGAAATGGAAATTGAATCTGTTTTTCCGTTTTCCTCCATTTTGCTTTTATTAATTCAACTTCCATTTTCTTATGTTGATAATAACGTAGCTTTTTGAACGCGATTTCTTTCAATTAAGATTTCTTTTTAATAGCATTCGAATATTTTGTTGAACTTTATTGATTATTAAAAAAAAACCATAATTTTCGAACACGTGTCCGAAACAAATTAATTTCCGACTATATTTCATCATAATGTTTGACAGAAACATCGAAGGACATCTCTGCGAATATCTGAATTTTCAACTGATGATTACCTTTTTATAGGCATATTTTAGGGATTTTTGCTGCAAAAATTACTTTTGTGTCTTACAAATTTTCCTCCCGCGGCTTCGCCTAAGTGAATTTAGGTTATTATTTTCCTTAAAGCTATCCTATGTCCTTTACTAATGTCCACTGTATGTGTTACCATACATACATAACACTAATAACAGATAAATTTGAAACTGATACCTTTACTTTATTTTGAGATGATTTAATAATTTAATTGACTTAAAATCCTGTTTAGTCAGTACTCATTGTATTTTATTACTTCTAGTTTGGGTCGATTTTCGATCAATTATTGATGTATTTTAGGTATATATATGATCACCGATATTTTCGCAAAATATTGACCGATTTTAAAATTATTTTTTTTTATTCCATAGGTTATTAGACTGAGGTTGATCCCATTTAAATTTTATCGAAAGCAAATCAGTAATTATTATTTTATAAAACAAAATACGCTTTTCACCAAATATCACCCAATTATTTAGGTGATATGGTAAAACTTGGCCCATTTCAGCTAAAAAAGCAAAAGATTGGGTATTTGGAATTCATTCAAAATTCGAAAGATGAATTTTCTATGTTCAAGGAGTTTGTATATTTTTTCATGAAAGTAGGTATTTTAATCGTTTTCATCTTGAATTGTGAGCCAATTTCTATCAAGCTAACTGTTTCCCCATGACTTCGCCTGCATAAATTATAGCCTATGTCGAACGCGTATTAAGTAGCTTCCCATAAATGAAAGAAAAAAGTAATCCAATCTTTCCTTTATTTAAAATATGAGTATAGAATTATTGCAATAAATTATGAATAAAATCTTCTTTTCTAATACTTTCACTATGTTGAATATTTTTATTTATAAAGATATTTAATATTTTTAGTGTTATATTAAAAATATCAATAATATATGAAATTAAAACTTTAAAAAAAATTAACCAACTTCAATCTTTAGTCGGGCGCCTATAATTTAATTATATAAATAAATCTATAGAAGACTCGACCTCCGCCCGCCCGACTTTAATAGCATTTTCTTGAATAAGCAGCTTTCGAGATAAGTATTATTTATATACATATATATTTATTAAGTTTGAAGACGGTTCTATTTTTTGATGGTTTTAACATTTTTTTTAATCTCTTTGACTAGGCTAGTTTCAAGTTTATGCTATCTCTCAGATTCCTGGTTAGCTTCCCTTCAATATAGAAACATTCTATATTTCACGCGTCTGATCTGATTTGGAATCTTCATCGTGTCAGATCCATAACACGAATCATTCATTAACTTAATTTTGGAGCAATACTGTAGTGAAATATTTAAATATTAATGTTATTAAACTTACCCGACAGAAATGCCTATTTGGATCTTGGACACCCCCGACGCAGATATAATTGCCAGGCAGCATCTTGGTGTACGGTTCACATAGTGATGCCTCTATTACTGGTGCATTTACCACACGGATGTGCTGGTGGAAGAATTTTGAATAGATTAATAACCAGTTTCATACGATTATAACATCATAATTTAAAAGATTTTTTTTTTATATTTTTTAGTGAACAGTTTACAATATATATAAATTATATAATTTTGATATAACTCGACGAAACCTTTAATTTGATAAAAAATATAGGTTTTGAAAAAGACCTATATTTTTTTTAAATGACATATTAAAATATATATAGCCAGTGTCACTCGGAATGATGTAATGTCTCTAATGATACCTTATACATTCATATATTCACCATTCATTGAAAAAGTTATGGCGGCATAAAGAAACTCATATACATACATTAACCGTAAACAAATTTTCTTGTTTTTTGGGTCGTCATGAAATAATAAAAAGTGAACAAATGAAGTACTTTCAAATTAATAGTATTAATTTAATAAAAAATGATAAAAGTTGACATCACGTGTCACAGCGACACCAAAAATAGGTTATCAATTCAGCTCATATCAAGTCGAGACCTTGACCATTCTGTTCAATAAATAGATTAGCCACTTACAAAATAAGTATGCGCGCCTTAGAACATAATTAACATTAGTAAACAATGAACACATCAGCTTACTGCAAATTAGTTACTTTTAATTTAAAACTCATTGTAAAAAGACTTAAAATCAAAACTTGGATTTTGAGTTTTGTACATTTTAGGTACAAAATTAGACATAAATATAAGGTATGAAATCAAGTGTTACAATTTCAGGTCAAATGTGAGAAAAATACGTTACATCGATTACTGGAACTGATATGCGAATTATTTGTACAATGGTTTAGTATATAACTCGCTGCTATTCGATCGAGTCGCATAAACAATGAAGGCAATTGTTATATTTTCATTTTTATTAATCGTGTATTTTAAGTTCGCCTGTGAGGCCAAAGAAGACGCTTCTAGTGATGCATCACGTATATTAATAAAAAGATCAGTGCAAGATTATGGAAAAAAAGATGGAAGACAATTTTCTGCTAAATTAGAAGTTCGACCCTCTAGGGATAACATTAATGGTTCAACAGGAAAGAGTTCCCGAGAAACAGAAAAAATAGTTGTGGGAAAATCACAAAAATTTATTATTGGTAGGGCGGGAGGTTGCCCTGTAGGTCATATAAGACTTATATCATATTGTGTCAAAGAAGATGATTCCAGATAATATTAATTTATATCGTTATTAAATTATTTTCATTTTTTTCAAATAACATACACATATGAATCTCATCATGATATCTTCATAGTTTGTATAATATATTTATTTAAAATACATACGCAATTAATTATCTATGAGGTCAAATGTGAGAAAATAAATTAATTTTAATTATTATTGTTAGGTTATGTTATCTTCACAATAGTTTTAAATTTTAGCACTTTTAAATTTTCGCAATGAATATACTGTTTATATTTTCTATGTTATTACATTTATTTTTAAGGTTTACCTATGCAGTTAGTGAGGATGTTTCTAGTGACGTGTTTCTAAGGCAAAATTCCTTGCAAAATTATATAAACGATGGAAGTAAATTTGCTAAAACTAATTCGTTACAACATCATCTGAATATAAAGTTGCAGCCCGAGATTTCACCCTTGAGGGACAACAGTTATGGTACAATAGGCGTGAGTTCTCTAATGGAAGGGGGAATCTTAAATGTAGAAAAGAGGAGTAAAGATTCGGTCAGAAATGCACAACGTATTATTATTGGAGGACAATGCCCTGCAGGTTATATCAGAATTAGTTCAATGTGTATCAAAGAAGAAGAATAGTTTTTTAATAAAATAAATGAAATCGGTATAAACTGAGTTTTTTTTTATTAGCAAATTCCACAAACTAATAGCATTAACAGAAGAGAGAAATAAGCAGCGACTCTTGAAATAAAAAAAAAGGTATCTATCATGATATATTTACTGAAAATATTCTTTTTAACTAAGATACAACCAATTTTATATTACTTAGATAAGAGTAATATAGTCTATATGTTAATATTAAATTGGTTGTACTTATTTGTTTAAAGATGACGTTATCTTTTTTTAGTAGTTCGCGTTATTATATTAAATAAATTTCAAGTAAAACTCTTAGTTGGATCTTTAATAAACTTGTAGACATATATTAGATATATATAATAGGGTCGTATGGAATCATTAGATTGAATCATAATATGCATGTTTTTGTTGACTACGCAGAGATGATCATCTCGTTTTTTAAAGTTGAAGTTTGGAACCACAAGTATCTCTTTATTTCTTTTAACAAAGTTAGCTAAACGTTGTTTTTTTTATAGTTACAGGGGCCATAAATAACGCTTTAATCAAATCTTACCCCACTGGGCGTCCATGCTATTATAGAGGCTAGATACCCCAAGGTAGGATCATCATCAGTTGCAGGCAGATGTATCGGTCCAATTCGTGATCCATAAACCAGTGGCGTCTGAAGCTTGATAGCAGACACCTTCATGTCAAAGTTGTTTATCATCATCTTTATCTGCAATTCAAATTAAAGAAACTGGGTCATTTTAATAGTTATAGGTATAATTAACCATGAAGTGGATATGTAGACTCTGGGCGCGATTTTAATAATTTAAATGATGTCAATTAGATAACAATATATGTTATCTTATTGAAGTATGAACGCAAAATTTCGACTGAATCAGATGAGGACTTTCAGTTGATAAATTTTCAAAAATAAAAATAGAAAATGTACACTGCAACTGACTAATACGTGCACTGCAAGTTAAATAAAAGCTTGTAAAAAATCTAAACGACTACAACGAGCGGTTAACAAATTGAAAACTTAACTGATGATTTGTTTTTTGAATGTGCTTTTAGTTTTTTTATCTCTACTCCCTTCTCTCATATTCGGCAATCGTACAACAGTCTAAAATCTTTCATTATTTCAATACGAGTTTATTTTCTTTTGCTTATTAATGTTTATTCATCTACTGAAACTTTTATTAGCTTATTAGGTAAACAAAAAGTTTTATAACGTTATATTGAGTCATAATAAATTGTGGAAACAGAGTGATAGAATTAGAAATAGCCAAATGCCAGCAGACATGTTGTTTAGTCTGGCGAATTTATGGGTGTAACATGAAAACACGGCACTGAGAGAACTTCTGATATGAATGATAATAGCTTTGTTTTCGCTGTCAAGTGATGAATGTTGCGCACTATATTTTTTTACAAGCAGGTCATATTTTGTTTGTCATTCAATATGATTATGATTTATATCATAAACTCATTTAAACCAATCTCCGTGGTCGAGTGGCAATTAAGCTTTTTTGACCTTGGTTCAATGTCAGGTCAATGTAGAAATTAGAGTTCCAATATTGTTTTAGATTTGATTGTGGTGGTATCGTTGTTTCAGAATACCAGCAAGCTTCTTAGTTTTTTAATCTGGATAATGTTTTTATCTCTTGTAAATAGTCCGTGTTGTTACTGCAGACCTCAGCAGAATACTAGCGCAGTGGGTTTTGCTTACTGCTTATACTGAGTTGAGGCCAGCAACACACACCATAGAACTTTTATTAGTTGTTATTTCTTTGTAATATAATCATTATATGGTTTATTGTAAGTAATCATGCTGTAAATTGTTTATGGGAGGGAGTGTAAATTGAATTTATTATATAATTAAAAAGAGAGAACATTTAGTTGTTTGTTTGTACTGTATAGAACCCTTTTTGTTGTTTTCTTTCTTTTACAATTAGAAAAAGTTCCTAATTTCCCAATCATCATAGAGATAAAAATATTACCCAGAAAAAAATGTTTGGTTTGACAAAACGACTTGTCTATTTACGCCCCATTTGTCATAATTGTGTCATTGTAACATATCACATAATATTTTTTTACCTTGTAAAGCGATCCTCCTTTGTTATTGTATGAGCTGCCCACTCGGATGGTGAAATTGCCGAGCTTTTTGTGGGTCACGTACGAGGAGATGACGTCCCTGTCGGCAAAAAGTGCGGTTATGACTGGATGCGCTAACTTAAATCTTATGGGATGAACTGTGGGTCATTAATTATTCGATATTTAGACGAAGGACTCAAGGGAGTGACCACCTGACCTATTTGTGGTTAATCTATGTTGAAGTTTTAGTTCAAATTAATTAGCAAGGAGCTTAACATGTTAGGTTTCATAAGGGTTGGCCTTAGGATGGGCGACTAAAATTGATTAATTCAAGCTCCTATGTGCCACGAAATGGATGTTAAGGTGTTGGTGCCTCCAGCTTATGCAATTGTTAATACCCACCAATCAGCACTAGCTCCAATTTGAGCTTTCTTATTCAAAATGAACTTACTCTCGGTCTTATGCTCGAGTCTCGAGATATTAAGGTTTTATCTACTTTCCTTTCTTTATGTATGTCAAAGGTTAAACGAGTTTTTCATTATTTAATTTTAAAAACTGTCTTTACTAACTAATTCTAGCAGGAACTAAACTAAGCGATTCAATTAGTAAAGTCTTCTGCAAAGGTAAATTTCAACTTTTTATTATAATAAACGATAAGTCCATAAACTTTAAGTGTAAAAAAGTTGAAGAATGTTATGAACTAACTGTTAAGCAACTTGGTATTAAACTTTCAAACTTGAAAATGAGACGAATGAGCAAATATTGCTCGCATAAAATAAAAGCTGCCAACGATAAACTTGAAATTGATATCTTACGGTCTTGGATTTTAGGTGCACTTTCGTGTGCTTATGTGCCTCTTTATTGATATACTCGTCGTGAAGATAAATGCATATTGACTGAAAGTTATGGAAAGATAAATGAATGATTGATTTCTGTGTATTTAATGCCCAGAATTTGACGGCTTTAGGATATTATTACCAAAGTCCAACAGGCATCTGGAATTCGCTTATTTTTGGCTTGATTTTATTCAACTTTTTAATAGTGTGGCAATCCGGTATCAAACGTAATAGAGAGGAGAAACAGAATTTGCTGACTTTGTAACTGGTTTTTCTCACTATAAGATTTTATGTTCACATTCTGTTCACATTGCTGATAATACATATGTTTATCATGGCGATAAGAACAGTTAAAGATCAAAACAATATGGTAGAATCATGTGGATATTGTGGACATTTACTAAATAATAAATATAGACAACGTCACATACATTGCTCCAATTCCAAGATGAATAACTAAAACCTCCATATTATAGAGTATCTGAGATAAAGTACCACCCCAAAACACATAAACCTGAGACAATATGTAAGTTCAAATAGGAAAAGAATGTTCGTCTACGGGGTTCGTATTGTTACAATAAATGTGGATAACTTCATTGTCTTTTATTTATTATGAAAAATTAAAGCTTGTTGACTTTATTTGGGAGTGGGGAAGAAAAAGTATTAGTATAATCCAATCGTCATTGATAACTAGGGAGAAAGAGGACCGTAGATAAAAGAAAACTTATGATACGAATGTTATTCTAGATACACAGCACACACACAGAGAGAGAGATACAGCGAATTCTTTGATAAATAATGAAATATACCGTTTGTCATACCCACTTAGGTTTTAATTTAGGAACACCAAGTACAAATATTGAATTTTTGATTGGAAGCTTGGTGATTTAGAGTTAAAAGGGCTGGAAAATGGCAGTTCCCCTTTTCAATTCTTCCGGATAAAAGAGTTGATTCATTTTGCTTTTGACCCAAATTCTTGAATGCGGCCCTGTCGGGTTAATCAATTCTCCAAGTCCGTTTACAGGGCCGCACAAAGGTGCGGGTCAGTTTTTGTTCTGAAAACCTTCTGAGGGTTAATTTGTTTGAGTCTATATAGAGTTAGTTATATTGAGTTTGAAAGGTTGGAAATTGTCAGTTTTAATAATTAGGTAGATAAAAGGGAGTTTTAAAAGGAAATGACAGTTAGTCACTTTACAAATTATTATCATTATAACATTTAAGAGTAACGATCAGTACAGCATTGACGAAAGATCACTTAATAATTTAAACGGAAGTATGCGTTAGTACGTGACAGATGATACGTCGAGTGTGCAAGATTAATTGTCATATTATATTATTTGTAAGTGCTGAGTGGTTCTGTTGCTATACGGTTATACACGATCGTTCTTTCCGTCAAATATGCACTTACCTTAAGATGACAAACAACTCAGTTTAGTGAACAAAGAATCCGAAACGTCGTAATGACTACGAAAATATTAAAACGAAAGTTTGCGACGATCCTGAAAGAGTTTCATATCAAGCAGAACAATAGGTGGTGCAGGGAAAATTCGAGAGTAAAAGACGTTTGTAACTCACTCCAGTATTTACAATTAAGCTCATCTCGCCAAAAATCATGCCACATAGCGACACAAGATGTCACAGGACTCGACTTCGAATTTACCATGACCGCTTATGTCAAGAATACACGACTAAGAAGACTAATTATTAACGCCTAACTAACTGGAAGAAAGTTACTTCTTATGCCTTATAGTCGAAACTTTATTTTTTTATGAATTAATGGATCAATAAGAGAAAAATATTATCTCATCCGAATCGATCACTGTTCTGTTTACTACTGATTTTATCTTGTTTGAATAGCCCATGCATTAAAGATAAAAAAGTTGTAAAAGAATATTAGCGATTTATTTTCACGTATATCCAGCACGCATAGTACAAACTCGAAAAACACTTTGTCTACACTCAAATGTCACTTTCTTGGGTCGAAACTGATGTAGACAAAACGTTCCCGAGTTCGTCATGCTAAATACATCTATTTAAAAAAAATGTGAATGTAAAAAAAATGCATTATGTAACGAACTCATAACCAACAATACATTAATTAAAATTCATTAATATGGTACCAATAAGTGAAGGATTGACAAGTTACATATATCAGTATATTACGGCGAAATATGTTCAAAGTAGTGGATTTCTTTCCATTGTATACGCTTTGCTTCCATCATGTTGGGATGAGACTACTCAATGGAATTATTTATGGGAGCTCTCAAGTACCCTTGTATAAGAAAGTCGCATTTGCTAGTTGTCTCAGTACTTTGAGAGTATCATAGCAAAGGTTACTCATTAATAATTCCTTTCTTAAGTAAAGCAAATATTGCCTGTAATTATTTACATTTTAAGTCCTCCAAAATCATGCAATAAAAAAGTATACTTTATTAGCGGATATAATCGCTTAATTTAAGAAATAAAAGAAATTAAAGAAATATTCCGCTACATTTGAACCCACATTTATTATTTTAGACCCCTCTGCTAAGATATAGTCCGAAATTCATACTCACGAGTCAAAGCACTTTGACGATGACAGTAACCAGTTGGTGTTTAACACTATAGCGCTGCAGACGTATGTGTCGTTCTTCATCAGGGATGCAGCGTATGAGTGCTGGACTATTTGTGTGACTGACGCGCCAACCCGCTCGCTACTGTCCAAGTCGTCTAAGTCAGGGTTCACTGCAAGTCATGGCTTACGATACATTAATTGCTACATGCATTCATCATCAACAGTCCCCACTGCATGGACACAGGCCTTCTCTATAGGTGGAATCGAATTACGGCAAATGGCAAATAGGAACAATGGACCATGACGCGTGCTCAGTGCGGATTGGTGGGCGTTAACGACTGCAGTACCTTTCGAAGTAAGGAGGAGCACGAGATTATATTTTTTGATCACAAATCCTACGGACGGCCTTTGCGAAAGTTGCTTAACAACCATATCACAGAGTAAATGCATTAATTACTGCACTATTGAGCCCCTTAATTCTAATTAAGGGATTTGATTTGAACATCCATTGTGTCAACAATCTGTCAAATATATGCAGTCGATTTTCAACTATATTTCTGAAGGTCCAAAATCAACTGACTCTGCCATCGCTTTATATACCTCTATATGAGGTATGTGTGTTTATTATGCAGAACCCTAAGCCGTTTGTAAGGGCGTGTTAGTGCGAGTTTACTACATAAAATACCTTAAATAATGCAGTACTCTAAAAGCTGTTTTACCATGTGCATTAAATTGTAAAATATTATCAATCATTAAATATTACTAAATTTTAAAAAAATGTTTATATAAATAGCTGCTGACAGAAAACTTTTATGATATTAAGGATTTTTTGACAAAAAATATACTTAAATTGTGATTTATTATTATCATGTTAACAATATGCATCTGATATTAAATCCTGACACTTGAAATTATAATTATCTAACATAGAGTTCTATATTTTACATATAGACATTGAAAATTCAATAATAGTTAAATAAAAAGACTATATAGATTTGCATGCTTAGTAATAAGTAAAACATGATATCAAAAATTTTCTCTGCTATCTTATTAACCATGTTTGTGGCAAATGAATAAATTATAACGTACAATTAGTTGAACTTAAAAATTTTGTGCTATTTGATTTGGTTTCTAATCTGTCATTCGATTTAACATGACACCTAAAGGTCTGTTCTATTTTTCCTCGTAAGATTTAAAGCAATTGTGAAAAAAAACTATTATTTTGTTAAAATCATAATTATAAAGATTTTCTGTGCAGGATATTTCGTTTTCGGAGAATTAGAATTAGGTTTTTAGGGTGTCATATCAATAATTGGTACGAGTAGCATCAAAATTTTGTAAGTCTTAATTCAACATCAATGAAGTATACAAACTGAATGAATTAAAATATTACCAGAATCTTCTGCGTCTTCATCTGTAGCCAACTTGCCTTTGGCACAGTACACAGACATGACTGTCATTAGAACTGCTACTTGTTTCCACATCTCTATGCCTTACGTTTCGTGCTAATACTGAAAGAAAATTGCCCGATTTTGAGATTGTTTCGATTTACCATAGAGTTATAAAATTGTAATTACTGTTTTTTTTTTCAAGAAATAGTTTTACTACAGACCTAACAATACACGCTGAAGACCATGCTTGCTATTAGGATATATCAGGTCAATTATTTTACTTCTTGTCTGCGCAATATTTAGTCTTCTTCCATTCGTATCAGTCAGCCTTCATTTCAACATTCACTACTTTCTTATACATACAAATTTGACTTTCATTAGAGCGTAAAGGCGTCATTAAACCTTAATTAACGTTTGTGAAACTGACCGAAAGTCAACTACGTTGGTATGTTAAACTTTCTGGATCGAATCAGAGGAAGAGAAACCGACTAATTTATTACCACACGTAGTATAAAAAAACTGTGAAACGTTTTATCTACAGCAAAATAACATCTTTGCAAGTGTATGTATCTTTTGATGTATACAAAGCAATTCTTGAGTTTGTCATTCTATGTTTGCTGATGAAATGTATTGAAACAGATGAACCTGCTTATTGCCTTAAATAGTGTATTTTTTTCTCAACTGGACTATAATTGTGTAATCATTATATAAGGCAATAAGGAGATTCGTCTGTTTCAAAAGATTCCATATTATTTAGAACCGAATAGGGCACGTAAATTATATTCATCAGAATATTTTATGAAGGTGCGTACATCATTTATTTATGCGTAAAGAACTTATTCGGATAAAATTCTGAGTTACATAAGTCGCATAAAACAAGAAAAGCTGTTAAATATGAAAAGCAATAACTTCAAATATTGGATGATCGAGTCTTCAAAAGCTGTTATGAATATAGGTATTAGTGTTGTTACGAAATCGATAGAATATCGACGTGTTACAATTATGGCCTTGAAAACTATTGTAAATTATAAAGTATTGTTGCGACTATACATAAGAAAATTTATAGAACTAGCTGTTTTCTCGTGGCTTCAACCGCATAAACATCCGTGTAAAGTATCCGTGACATAGTTCACTATCGGTGAAAGAATACGTAAAATCGTTTCATAGCCATTTATTGCAAACAAACAATGAAATCTTTCCTCTGTAATATTATTATTATAGACTATCAATTGACGATATTTAATCTTCTATAGACATGCTACACTACTATCTTATATGAACGGATTTCAAATAAGTATGGTATATATATAAAAAAACTAGCTATTAGCCACGTCTTCGACTGCGTAAATTATAGCCTAAGTAATTTTGTATATAACGTCGATGACATAAATTTCATCTACATTATAAGTATTGAATATGCTATATATATACTTGACTACCAACACATTGAACAGTATAAAAATATTCAATTCAAGCAATAAACAACTAATTATAACAAAAGTCTCGATATTGTGTATCAACGTTGGTATGCGATACATCAAATCTGTCCCACATATTGGTTCAGATCACGTACCAAACATATATTAGGGCAAAGACGCGGTACTAAATCATACGTAGCTCTGTGGCAGGATGTTTTCGCCAGTACCGAATGTTTATGTCAACAATGGCGTAGCTCGAGGCGATTTGTGAAATGGTGCAAGAAACGAAACCGTGACATTTCCTGCCGCAAAATATGTGAACGGATGTTCTTTATTTACCTACTGAGATTTCCCTAAGTACAGCATCTATAAATGTGTGTGTACAATTTTGACTTTTCATGTGAATCTTATTCTTGTTGCGCTGCGGTTGACTTCACTGGTAAAAGTATTAGTACGTATTTGTACGTCTGCCTATTCTATGATATAGCTGTTCGAGCTTTAAGTGAAAAGAAATAAGTTTTTAAATTTTAGAAACATTAATAAATGTGATTGTATAAGAGAAATGTCTCAGATGACGAAAAAAGCCCCCATATTAACACTGACACAACGAAGGTTGACTTAGACTAGACCCCTGAGACAAAGAAACAATAAAATCTACCCTCAGATCAGCACCGACCATTAAAATTCTCCTCCTTTTCTAAGTCTGTTAAAAATACAGCCACGGTGGACAGACAAACAGCGAGGACTATTATTTGAGTGGGATAGTAACAATAATATTATGAAATTTATCTGCGAACCAAATTTACTGAATTTGATATCTATATAATAAATATTATTAAGAGAAAAGTTTTGACTACTGGACCTATTTTTAAAAAAAATTATACGGACATAGGATACGTATGCGAAGTCGTGGGACATTTGCTAGTATTTTATAAATTTTGAGAGAACTTTTATTCGAATTGTCACTTGCTGCTTTCGGAATAGTGAACTCGTGTTTTCCCTTATAGAAATCCCAGAGGCCTTTTCACCTCACGTCACGTCTCACAATAAGCTTTCGAGTACTGAATGAAGGTTACCTATCTATTCGCTTTGATTGTCGTGTGTTGGATAATTTTAATTAATAAAGGCAAACTTTCATTTTTATTTTAATTATAAGTGTTAATAATATCCTTTTTGTACATAGATTAAGCTTTTTCATATCTGTATACTCTTTGTAGATTTGATTTCACTACATTTTAAAGTTCTTTAATTAAATGAAGTCAGTAAAGGCTAACTCTGTCTAATCAAAATTTTAAATGTATATAAATAAATGCAATATTTTTTTCGTTCTTGCAAATTCCATTTAGGTATTTGAACTGGAGAGAATGTATTCACGTGTTAAAAGAAAATCATGCATATAATATTCCGTTTCACGTCTTGGGAGTCATTTACGAGGTATTGTGCCGTATCTTCCCTTCTTGTTTTAATCAAAGACACAACACAACAGCCCTTCAGGTTCACCAAACATCTCCACAATCAATTTAGAGCTTAACGTTTAACAGGTTAAGGCTTAAATCAATTGACAGTTTTTTCATAACTTCTATTGACTGTTTATAACCTACATTTTTGTTTTGAAACAGCAACGCTGTAATTTATGAAAAGTAATTTCCTAAATTGATCACACAATGATCCGTCGGAAACGACACGAATATGAAATTGAGATAGTCGATCTGTCTTCTGTCGTTTCGTTTGAACAAAATGTTTATTTATTCAAGTTTGTGCAGCGGATTATTTCAGGCATTCAGTACACTTTTAAAAGGTTTTATTTAGACTTAGGTATATACAGTTGCACAAACTTCCAAGTTAAATGCCGAATTTAAGCTTTAATTAAAGTTTTACATTTCAAAATTTCGTATTGGTATAACTAATGTAAATTTTAATGGACTCGTTTCACTCGACTTCACTCACTGTCGATAGATTTAAAAGATAGAAAGACAAAAGTAATTACGTGTTATGAAGTGGGCCCAGTTTAGTATGCTTGGTGTTAACTACTCCAAATGTAGCTGACGCCAACTTGCTGCCAAAGCACGGAGGAGCTAAACATAATAAATTTTCAGCCTATCATCCTGTGACCAGATCTGTGATGGCTATTTAACCTCCGCTTTGCACTTCGAACGTGCTAGCCGCTAAGCCAAAAGTTTTTGGCTGCCCTAAATATTAATTATTTGATGATTATCCTAGACCAGTGATTCCCTAAGTGGTCTAGGTGGACCCCCAGGGGTCCACGAGGGCTTCAACGGGGGTCTACGAAGGCGTGAAATAAAAATAGGGGTTAGGACGAATTTTGCGAATATGGTAAAAATGTAGCAGCAGGGGGTTCACAGAAACCAGTTTTTTTTTAAATGGTCTACGAGAAAAAATTGTTTGGGAACCTCTGTCCTAGACCATCCATGACCTATCATTAACGTTTTTCTTTTTTTTTGAGCAGGAAAGGTGAATAAAGGAATCGAACTAGGTCCAATATCGTATCTTCATTTTATACATACATTCAATATGAAACTAAGATTATTCTAACCGTTAAATTTCTGATGGGTCTATATTTCATTATTATGCATATAATATATGTGCTTAAAAATGTTATCGACTATCAAAATGAGTTTTGTAATGCTTTATAAGTGTATGCCAAAAGATTTTTATTAGAGATAGACTACAACATAGAATTAACCCGAAAGCTTAGATATTGTGTAAATAAATTTTGAAACTCGTATTACCGATAGTGGTACAAAAGGCCCACAGCAGATATGTGACTATGCGCATATTCGACAACGTCACGTTTATGTAATAACGCGCGGTGTCACGTCGAAATGATCAATTGCCCGCCGACGATCGTTTGAACCGAACCATCGAAGCTTGATTCTAAACATTTTCTATAGATGATCCGATTATATTTAGGATAAATCTCCCTTTCATATTAGTTACAAAACAGCAATGAATTCTTTCTTAAAAGAATTAGAGTTTTACTTGTGAATACTTAAGCTCTATTCACATATCTTCTACACTATTTGGATCTGGACTTGAAGACGATTTTTATTTTTTAAATTATTTTACTTACGGGAAACTACATCACACATGGGTGACAAAAGCTATAATTTACGCGGATGGAGTCACTTGAAAACAGGTTACCATAAAGTGATTGGTAATGTTTTAGGTACATTATCATTTCTGCCCTTGGTCTTCGCATATAAAACTTCTACGGCTACGCTATTCTGTTCAATAAATAGCCTCCAAATCGACGTCAAGCGCCTCGCTCCTTAGAGCTTCAATGAAATAAAACCTTTATTACTTCTTGAAGTAGGTAGCTTGACGTCATATATAATATAATATTTTGTACTTACTTTACATGATGTTGTGTATACGTGAAAATAAGATTAATCTGCCGTTAATGTAATATGCTGCTTTTTCATACCGTACTTCAATTTTCATTCACGAAAATATCTTTGTTGACTTTTGGCGTGGCGTCATAATATTTCCGAACCGAATGCTTAGATTGAGGCTCGAGAGGACCCTTAATAAAGCCGATGGCCGTTAGCGAGAGAGCCTGTTAACTTAATGGGTCATACAGCCTTATTACGTCTACACTTAAGTTCTCTTTATGTTGATCAGTATATTTTTTATTATTTGATTTTTAATTATATT